GCGGGCGTGCAGGAGGCAGCCGGTCCATGATTCTCTCTCCTCACTGATGTTTCTCTCTGTCCCTCTCTCTCCCTCTCCCATCGTCTCTGAAATCAGTAATAAACATACCTTTAAAACCACCCTTTGGGAGGCTGTGTCCTAAGAAGTGTTAGCTCAGGAGGTGGGTTTTTTTCAGAACTCACAGACCTACGCCCTCCACGGCCGGCCCAGCGGGAGAGGGTGCCGTGGGAGGGCTCCTGACGCGGGGGCTGGGTGCCTTGCAGGGAAACTGAAGGAGTGGAGCCTCGTCCTGTACGGCACGGCCGAGCACCCCTACCACACCTTCAGCTCGCACCAGGCCCGCGCCCGCATGCTGGAGCTGTCCACCCCGGCGCTGGAGCCGCCCAAGGCCGCCCGGCCGCCCGCCCCGGCCGAGGGCCCGGAGGAGGAGGAGGACTACACAGGTAATCCAGGGGCACGGCCTGCCTCTTGCGAGGACTGGTTTTCCCCTGGCTTTTCTTGGTTTTGTGAATCCTCCCCTGAGGATATCTTCCCATTGACTTTTAGGGAGAGTGAGAGAGAAACATCGACGTGAGAGAGACACATCCAGGGGTTGCCTCCTGCACGCGCCCCGACCAGGGCCCCGGCCGGGGAGGAGCCTGCAACCGAGGTACGTGCCCTTGACCGGAATCGAACCCGGGACCCTTTGGTCCGCAGGCCGGTGCTCTGTCCACTGAGCCACACCGGATGGGGCTGGTTTTCCACTCAGAAATCGTGGGGCTGGCCCGGCCGGTGTGGCTCAGTGGTTGAGCATCAACTCATGAACCAGGAGGTCAGGGTTCGATTCCCGATCAGGGCACATACCCGGGTTGCGGGCTCGATCCCCTGTAGGGGGCGTGCAGGAGGCGGCCGATCCGTGGTTCTCTCTCATCATTGATGTTTCTTTCTCCCTCTCTCTCCCTTTCCCTTCCTCTCTGAAATCAATTTTAAAAATATATTTTTAAAAAAAATCGTGGGGCTCCTCCCGGCTGACAGGGGGGTCAGGACGGGGGCTGTTCCGCGTCCGGGAGCCGCAGTAACGCTGCTGATTTGCACTCACAGCTCGGTCCTCCCAGGGCCCTCCTAGCGTTTCTCAGACCAGTAAGTATGCGTCCAGCTCGTAAGTATGTCCCCTCGCCCCAGGCCGGGAAATCAAGGGTCCTCGCTATGCCCAACCAGAACCGGACCCGCCCCGTGGTGCAGGGGCCTCCGCCCGGGCTGCCATCTCACGGCCCGACCGTCTCAAACCCACCCACCCTCCGTCCCCTGGCCAGGACGTGGCCAGGACCCGGGTCCTCGGGGGCCCAGGCGGGTGCGGTCCAACGGGCACAGGGGCTGCCAGAAAGACCCGCGACTGGGTTTCCAGGCCAACAAAGCGGCTGCAGCGTCGCCCAGAAATTACAGATGCCTCATTGTAAGGATTCCTTCCCAAAGATTTTTAAATTGAGTTTTTTAGAGAGAGAAGAAGGGAGAGAGAGAGAGAGAGAGAGAGAGGGAGAGAGAAACATCAATGTGAGAGCGAAAAGGCCATCGGCTGCCTCCTGCACGCCCCCCAGTGGGGACGGAGCCCACAACCCGGGCCTGTGCCCTGAATGGGAATCGAGCCCTGACCTCCTGGTTCACAGGTTGACGCTCAGCCACGGAGCCACGCCGGCCAGGCACCGCTATGTCATTCGTTGCCAGGCGGCCCCTCCGGCTCAGCCGGCTCCCCAGCCGCAGGGCGAGGGCCTCAGACCCTCCCCCTCTGATCAGCAGGCTACGCAGCAAGCCGTTCCTTCCCCCGAACCATCCCACAGCGATTGGCGAGAAACCGGGTTTCTGGTTGGGCATAGTTTCCTGCGCTCACTCCTCCAGCTGCCAGGCACGGAGGGTGCTCCCCGACACCCTTGATGCTCGGAGTGATGTCATCGCTTCGGGGGTCGGGGGGCCGGGCGGTGACACCATAGAGCCTCCCCACCCCCAGTGCATCGCGAGCATAAATGATGGGCGATTCCATTTAAATTTCCTTTAACACGGACCGATGAATGATGAATGGGCTGATCGGCCGTTTCCCCCTGTGATTTATAAATCAGATTCAATAATAATTCATAAATGAATGCTTTGTTTTCCCCCATAAAATCTGCTCCCGACTCTAACCTTCTACCGCCCGGGAATCTCCCCATATAAGACTGGTCCGCAGCCCGAGTCTAGATGGATAGAGGGGGGTGGGGGTGGGGGTCTGTGGGGTGAGGGCGTGTCTCGGAGGCTCAGAAGTCCCCGAGTTCTCGGGCCAGGGGGACAGGTGGGCCAGTAGCGGCGACAAGAGCCAGGGAGGGTTTCATGGTGTGGAGGGCAACGGGAGGGGCTTGGAGGAGGAAGAGGGAGAGAGGCCCGGCCGGTGTGGCTCAGTGGTTGAGCGTCAACCTATGAACCAGGAGGTCACGGTTCGATTCCTGATCAGAGCACACGCCTGGGTTGCGGCTCGATCCCCAGTGTGGGGGTGTGCAGGAGGCGGCCGATCCGTGATTCTCTCTCATCACGGATGTTTCTCTCTCCCTCTCCCTTCCTCTCTGAAAATCACTAACAATATATTTTTTAAAAAATAAAAGAGGGGGAGGAGGAGGCGGGGGACATCCGCATGATTGAGGACATGGTTAACTCCATCGAGCAAGACCGGCCTGGTGACGCCCTGGGCTCGGGGGAAGTCACCGCCGAGCGAGGCCGGGTGTCCCCAGGGCCACGTCCGGGCCGCGGGCTGGGAAGGGGCAGCCGGGTGGCCAAGTTCAATGTGTTTTCAGCCAAAACAGTGCGAGGAGCTGGGTTTCGGAGGATTTCCCCGGGAATGGGCTGGACTGGAGTGGACAGGAGTCAGATCGGATGGGCATGGACCTCGCATCGCAAATAGCCTGGCCTTAGGGGAGGGTCAGGAGGGGAGGAGGGAGGGAGGCAGGTCGGGGAGGGGTGGCTGTGTCCTGTGCTGTGAGAGTCCCCGGGGACAAACACCCCTTAGACAGGGGTTCGCCCCCTAGAAAGGGGACCCCCCAGTGCACACGTTGGAAACGCCAACATCCAACCCTCGGGGAGGGAAGCAGAATGAAGCTGCGCGGCCGGCGGGTCCGAGGCCCCGTGGGGAGGGGAGGGGCGGGCTTTGTGCGCCAGCAGAGCCCCATTGTGCGGGGAGAATGGCCCTTTGTCCTCCCTCCGTCCCTGTGCTGCCGGCTGGGCTCCCACCGCCTCCCAGAACCAGACCTGACACAGGCGTGTTTTCCTTTTCTTCCTAAAGACGCCAACGCCCTCAGAACGGGCCGGGCCCTCCCTGGGCAGAGGGGGAAACCCCGGCCTCTTCGAGAGCAGGAGGCGCAGCTCAGGGTGGGCGTGGGCACGCTGCGGCCCCGAGGTCCTGGGGAGAGGCCACGTGGGGACATGCCCCCCGCCAGCCTGAGGGAGGGTGAGGCGGAGCCGCTTGTAGCCGGACAACACGGGGTCCCGGCTGCCAGTCACTCCCTGAGCCCGTTCAGCAGAGACAGGGTGGAATCCTACGTGAGCGTTGATTCCGATCCTGCCGGCAGCGTGGGGGAGCCGCAGGGCACCCACAAACATCTGCTCTGCCCCCCCCATAAGCCAGCTGCTGGTAGTGGGTGGAAGGACAAAGATTACATGGGAAGTCGGTCAAAGGGTGATGCCAAATGGGCAGTTTACAGGTGAGCCGGCTGGAGATTTGCAAAGGCCTGTGGGTGTGCAAAGGCTGGGGGTCCTCAAAAGGCCTGTGGGTGTGCAAAGGCTGAAGGTTTGTAAAGGCCTGTGGGTGTGCAAAGGCTGGGGGTTTGCAAAGGCCTGTGGGTGTGCAAAGGCCTGTGGGTGTGCAAAGGCCTGTGGGTGTGCAAAGGCTGGAGATTTGCAAAGGCCTGTGGGTGTGCAAAGGCCTGTGGGTTTGCAAAGGCTGGGGGTTTGCAAAGGCCTGTGGGTGTGCAAAGGCTGGGGGTCCTCAAAGCGCTGGCGCTCTGGTTTCCGCAGTAAAGCTGTTCATCCTTCCATGATCACAGGCAGCTCCCAGTGGGGAGGACAGGCTGCGTTTCCAGGGGAGCTCCAGGGCCGCGTGCAGCTCCCAGCCAGGCCAGAAGGTGCCTTTTTAATCAGAACAGCACAGCCACGGTCACAGAGCGGGATTCACGTTCCTCACAGTGACAGCTGGTCCCCAACCTTCTCTTTCTGCCCCTCACAGCCAGCCCCGCAGGCCCACCGCGCTCCTGGGGGACGGCGCGGACGGGGCCGGGTGTGCGTGGGTGAAAGGCAGGCGTGTCTCTTGCAGGCGTGTGCCACCCGGAGTGTGGGGACAAGGGCTGTGACGGTCCCGGGGCCGATCAGTGCCTCAGCTGCGTGCACTTCAGCCTGGGCAACGCCAAGACCGGCAGGTAAGGGCGGGGCCCATCCGCGTGGGGAACCCACGCCCCACCCCCGGGAACGGGCTTTGCTGTGTTTTGTTCATCCTCCCCTGAGGGTATTTTTCCATTGATTGTTAGAGCGAGTGGGAGGGAGGGGGGGAAAGAGAGACACATCGATTGGTTGCCTCCCAAATGCGCCCCAACCGGGACCGGGAATCAAACCTGAGGCCCTTCGGTGCTTGGACCGACGCTCTAACCACTGAGCACACCGGTCAGGGCAAAGGGGGTCTGTTTTGAGCTGTGTTCTCAGCCCCTCCACACACACACACACACACACACACACGGCACCCTACTTAAAAATTTGAGTGAAGCCGAAACCGGTTTGGCTCAGTGGATAGAGCGTCGGCCTGTGGACTGAAAGGTCCCGGGTTCGATTCCAGTCAAGGGCATGTACCTGGGTTGCGGGCACATCCCCAGTGGGAGATGTGCAGGAGGCAGCTGATCGATGTTTCTCACTCTTTATCTCTCTCCCTTCCTCTCTGTAAAAAAATCAATAAAATATATATTTTTTAAAAAATTGAGTGAAAAAGAAAATGTATAAGGAAAAACAAAACAAAAATCTATACTGATAATAGGGTAATATGCAAATTGGTCGGGATGCCCTCACGCATAACG